TATACTTTGCTGTTGTTTTTCAGGTTTGCAGTATTGTGCCTTTTACACAACAAACAAAACATCCCCCCTTTCTCATCATCTGATTCCTCCTTGTAAATCACCCACCACATGCCAGTACATGAATCAAATGCCAAGTTATCATCTCTTATTCACTGGTGCTTGAAAAGGTCTCGTTTTAGGGCGGAATTTTTTTTCTGCTCCCTTTCAGTTAGGCTGTAACAATTATTTTTCTTACAAGTGTAATAACTGTGGACGATTTCCGAAGGCCCGAACAGCTTCAGCACAGAATTATGATCACAGAAATCAATGCTCGTCTGGCTTCTTGTGTAGGATGAAGCGGGTTTTACAACATCTGCTACACTCTCACTAGATTTTGAAGATGGAAGGGGCTTTTCCTTTGCTGAGGTAAGTGACTGACTGATTTCACTATCTAATGAACTACTTTCTGCGGAAAAAGAGATCAGTTAGCCAAAGTAAGACACAACACAAGGCAAATAATCCTTGGCTTGGCTGTTCAATCATTTTATCACAGGTAGTGTTTGTTATCTCTTTTAGGAACTAAAAGTAAACAAATCTGAAATCTGTATTAGTTGATATGATATTACGTGGTCACTGGATTCACAATTCGTGTTGATAGTGTTATTGTTTTTGTCAAATGAGTACTGGTGCCTAAACAAAGAGAAGGCCAAAATGAAAATAAAACTAATCGTGAATGTATCTTGTTGTTGCTTAAATTGCTTTATTCAAAGATCTTATCGTTTTAAGTGATATACTAATGTAATAATTTAAAGTGCTAAATTCAATCATTCTTTTAATTTACGTTGATCCAGAAACTGATTTTAGATTTTCAGAGTTGCCCTAGATATGATATACTGTCCTTTTAAGGAAAAGTTGGTCAATTAGATTTGCAAGGATAGGCAAGGTTGTGAAATTGTCTTTGAGTCCTATGAAGTTGCAATTTAACAACAAATAAATTTACCTGACAAAGAATGCCCTTCTGGCTTTCCAGATGTTGCACGAAGTCCGTGGCACTTTCGAGTGTAGTCTTGGAGATCCCCTTTGGTGGCGATGAGGCGGGATCACCTGCGAGCGGTTCTTCCAAAGGGTAATTTAAAACATGGAGGGCTGTGGCAACTCGAGGAATGAGCTCCGGCATTTTGGATTTCGGTGGAACTTGTCCCTGTTGGATGGCTGTGTTGACCTTTGCAACAAAGTCATCGATAGTTTCCCGCAACAGCAACTTGGCGTCTTCAGTGAAAGTGAAATGCAGGTGCTCAACCCTGTCGTTGATGTTAGCGAAGTACTCTTCAAAGTTGTCAACAACTTCTGTAGAGATTTGATCCGCCGCGGTTTCTATTTCGGAAAGCGTTGGCCTGGTGGCTAGAGGAGTTGCAATCAGCATTCGATCGACCAAACCATGGCCATGGTCCATTTTGGCGACGAGTTTGGCGGCGTTAAGTAGCTGCATTGAGCCAAGGATGCTGAAGGGAGTATTTTGTGGGATCACTCTGCTCTCCTCAGTGGAATAATGGTATGAGCAACGCTCACCGAAAAACAATTTGCAAAGCAACTGAACATCGCCAGTTGCATTGTCCTCGTCCGACTTCATCAGTTTGTTCAGTATATCCAAAACCTCGGGAGAGAGGATGGTTCCTTTTTTTTGCGTCGCTAGCAACTTCACTAAACCCGAGGACGTGGTTTTGGAAATAATGGATGAAGTGTAATCTAGTACTTCGAGATGATCTTGAGAAGCATGCTGAATTGCCGATGATTTGCCTGTGGGATAATATGAAAAAGACCATTATAGTTAATGAAGACTAAAATTAAAGAGTTTTGTAAGTAACAGTTATGATTGAAAGTCCACCAGCTGCAAGTCCGTTAAACATACCTGTTCCAGGATATCCCACAAATATTGTATAGATGTTCAAGGGTTGATCGTGCGTTAAGGTCTGCACACGTGCGTGGTTACATGCCAGAAGATACGTGGTTGTGGTCAGAAGTGAAGGAACAAAATATCCTTCGCAACTTCCAACGGACACTGCCTTGTTTTTGATGAAACGGTAGACGTCAGGATTTGGAATTAATTTTCCGTACGAAAATTGTGCTTCACTTAAACGCTTCTGGAGATTCACCCAGGTTTGTTCGTGTTGCTTATTTAGTTTTGACAAGGCGTACATTCTGATTTGCTCTTGGTGACCATAAACAGAAGAAGATTGCAGTGAAAACAAACAGTGCACTGTTAAAAGTAATGCTCGGAAGTTACTTTTGGAGACGTCGGCTTCCAAAATCTCGACCAATGGGAGCTCAAGCGTGTAATTCAAAGGTATATTTGCGTTATTAATTACCCAATAACTTCCGAAGGGGAAAATTGGTGCGAAAAAGTCTATTCATTTCCAGTATGTGTGAAATTGGCTAGAGGTGCGAAGTTAAAACTACACAATGGGCGCGAAGTAAGTCATGTAATAAGAAACTAACCAACTATGCTTTGTTTGCCCAGAGGTGCGGAGTTAAAACTACACAATGGGCGCGAAGTAAGTCGTGTAATAAGAAACTAACCAACTATGCTTGTCCGGCGCAAGTTGTGAAAAATAGAGCCACAGACACTGTATTATTTGCAGACACACAAATTCAACACAAGCTTGGTGGCCGAACAAAGAAATTGAATAGTTGAAAATCCGTTGTATTTGTGCTATGATTTTTTGATAATTAGGAAAAGATAATGACACGCGGAGAAGTGTTAAATTGCGAGATCGAAACAAACAAAGAAACAAATTTGAGATGTGAGCGGGAGCTGCTTTGAAAAAATGAACGTAGCCTGAGTATCAGGCTTTCTTAAGGGCCTAGGAGCGAGAAGGTGGATGGGGGAGGGAAAAAAGAGAAAGGAAGGCCTGACACAAAAGCATTCAGCAAATCGTTTGACACGTTTAAAATCTGGATGTGGCAGTGATTGGATAACACACAATACCCTCTCACGTCACTGACCGCAAGTAAATACGAGCAAAGCGATCGGCAAGGAGAAGCCATTGAAATTTTTCATAAATGTTTTCATTTTATGTTATGTGGTACTTTTATGGACAGAGACGCAGAGAAGAATTCAAAAGGGCCCAAGAGGGCGCTCTCAAGTTCTTTCCTGGCATAAAATAAAACCCGAGCAAGAAGAATTCTGTTTTGAAAGCCTCGTAGTTAAAAGAAAAGATGTTCTTGGAGTATGGAAAAGCCTCGTATACCAGCCTCTGCCGAAACTATGTCCGAGTATCTACCTGGCAACATCAAGATAGATGAACCACAGAAAATAACTCTCCTTGGCACAATTAACCCACCTCAGGCAGGTCATGGCCATCATACATGTAGAAACCCTATTTGCCTCCCAAAGTCCATGGTTTTTGAGAGAGAAAATAACCTTCAATAATATTAGTATATCTTATATAATAATAATAATAACTAGCAATATAGTCCTCACTACATCTGCAACCGCCTTAGATATGATGTTTATTTTGCAAGGAGTCTTCTGGCATCAATACATAATCTCTTTATTTCTATGCTATAGATTGTGACATTTTAAAACTTACATTTAATGATGAAACACAATATTTTACTTGTAACAAAAAACGTTATTTTTCATTTTTATCTTGTTACTTGAATTGCACGATGTTGTTTTATTGTCATCATGCATCTTTTCTGACAACAGCCTGTTAAAAATACCTGCCAAACTTTCATGAATTGGCGGGGAGGTTTGCTCTTTGACCGAGAGATCTTAAGTGAGCTCTTGCAAAAAAGCGTCGCCTGTCCTAGGCGCTGCTTTGTCCGTGGTGTTAGAATCCAGGAGAGCAGGTGGACTGGCTTCCATATCCACTCGTTCATGGTCAGTCTTTGACAGCTTCGACAGAGGCAGTTTCACCGTCCTCCTCCAACTCTTGATCATGACCGATCAACAACAAACTGACGTTTTCGTCAAGTTTCGTCATCTGACCCACGAACGGAGCCATAGTAGCCGTAAACAGGTTTGCAAGTTCTGTGTTTCTGGAGGCAGCAGTGGACCAGAAGGTAGGCTGGAAATTGGGGTGCTGTCACTGGATGGCATGGAAAGGGGTGAGCTCACTGTGATCGATGTGCAGAAAATTGCCAGGGGTGGGGCAACAAAAGTCGAAACAAAAGAAGGAACAGAAAATAATTGCCTGCCTTGAGGTGCTGAAGATGATGGAGGTGGTTGAGTGGCTTGAAACCCAACTCCAGAAGCCAAAAAGTTCACAATGAGATCACTTCAATTCAAAGGCTGAGCGGGAATGCCCCCAAAGATTGTAGAGGTGATGTTTGTGAAATCACAACCATAGTCTCAGCTTCCTGGAGCGAAGCAGTGGCCGAAGTGCCAGAAGAGGAAGCGAAATTGCCATCAGCTGCCAGGGCCAGCTTCACAGCATTGACCACAGTGGCCAGAAAGGCCAGACCTGTTGAACCATTCAGAGCGGACGATGATGAGACTTGAGTCTGCAGGGTTGTGATTGGAATCGCAGCTGAGGGCTTGATTCCAGAGGATTGAGAAGACATCCGAAAAGAGGCCAGCAGACACGCTGTTGTTTTTTCGACGAGTGGTCATCGTGAAAAATGCAGAAAAATTGAGCAAGGCAATAGCAAGCATGCTAAAATATGACTTTACGAGTGACTGCAAGCAAGCAAACTGCATTTGTGAATCACGAGATGCCCATGCTGATCATCTGGGGCCTGTCCAAGCCAGGCAACTAAGAAAATTGCTGGTGAGCATTGTTTCTATTTTAGCTTTGCCTAAATTTCATTTAGCCACATAGAGCAGTTCTGGTTGACCTAAATGGTTCGTGAGTCATGTCTTGTTATTTGAATTTGCATGACGTGATAAAGATATTATATCTATCCTCTTAGTTTGTTTTGCTGCCACTTTGACTAATTACTATTTAATGTATTTTTTTAAGTTAATGTTATTTCGATGTGAGCCCTATCGATGAGTTGTTTTTTTGTTAATCTTAGGGCTAGCTTCAAAAATAAAATATGTTTAAATAAATAAAAAAAAAATGAGATGAAATCATTGTGAAAGGTCTGCTAATGGTGTTTGGTTATGCTGGTTGCCAATTTTCCAGTTTCAGATAAGTGGAAGTCCACATTGTTAGGGAATAAGAGTTTCTCTGTTAATTCATCTTCCTTGTTCTTGTACTCGTACACATCCTCATTTAAAAACGTGCTAAGTACTTTAGCAAATGCTGTCACACGTCTCTGTGCGTTGTCCTTCTCTAGCAAAAATTGTGCTTTTACTTCAAGATAACAGTTTTTCAAAGGCATGGACCTGTTCCAACCATGGCACTGTAGTATTTGGGACCCTGGATTTCTTGCAATCTTTGTTGTTGTAAATTGGATATATGTTTACAAGAATGTTTAAATTATCAGGGCAACAAATAATGTTAGGCCTAGGTTATGGGGAAAATTACCTCCTGATTATACATCAGCGAAAACTTGTTGTTGTAAGTTGGATATATGTTTACAACAACGTTTAAATTATCAGGGCAACAGATAATGTTGGGCCTAGGTTATCGGGAAAATTACCTCCTGATTATACATCAGCGAAACCTTTTAATATTTTTGAAAGCAAAATTTGTAAAAATGATTTAAGCTCAATGATAGATGATGGATGCAAGGGCTGTTCTCTCTGCTCATTTAATTTTACAATTCTCCTCAGTCTTACAGTGAATATCACTCATCTTAGATTTTCGTTAGGTTATAATACATAATGCGTAGTTTTAATATTTTTACCTATATATTGTATACATAATTCCAATTATAAACTGTGTCCCTAAATTAGTATGGGGGTTTTCCCTCGCTAATTATGGCTTCGATACATTAATAAAGTTTTCTATCTATGATGTTTTGTTTCTTTTTCAAGTGACTGTTTGACAGTTTCCTGTTTGTCAACAATTTTGATGATGGTGTCCTCAGTAGTAGAAAGCTTTTTTTCATAAAAATGCTTCAGCAGACAATTGTTAAAAGTGTAAAACTGTTGATCTTCAATTTGGTCAATTTTCCCCCCCGTAGTGATTCTTTAATGTGTCCTGGAGTGTCTGCTATTCTATCATCACATACCCTTTTCTCTGTTGCCTCGTTATCTTTAATACTGGTCTCTTTTCCAAGCAATGTTAATATTTAAGAATTTTCCTGTGTTGTGCTTTTCGAGGTAGTTCAAATGTTGGTGATTAAACCAGAAGACACTGGCTGAAAGCGAGTGGCATGGAATGAGATGGTAGGTCTTTTAAGACACTGTTCTAGTTCACATAGAAGAGCTTCACTTTGCTGTGAAGATGAGGGTATGACTTTTCGTATTTATGACAAAATCTACTTTTTAGAGCAACAGCAATTTCTCGGTTAAGTCGCCAATGAATGCTTTCTAGACAGTACACACTGGTTGGTTCTGTGATGGCTTAACATGGGAGATATCCTGCTCTTGTGCTTTGGTAACTGTTTACTGTGGTGGCAAGGTGTTTTGCAAAATACTGCTTGAGCTTGCCGTTGGTGACAGTGTAGAATGTTTTCTCTTCAATCTGCTGGATGTGGCTATCCCAGGCTGATAAATTGATATTTCCAGTAGGGTCGGTTATTTTAGCCTCTCTCACCATTTTAGTTAAATGTTCTGTTTTTACTGGTTCTCCAAGCCATTTAATTCAAACGGAGGCAGTGAATTGTACAGAGTTGGGGTGCTTAAGGATAGTATCTACAGATGTTGGCGTCATTAGTGCCAGTGGTTTGACCGGAAACTAAATAGAATGTCGAGGTGTATCTTGAATAGCTGTACCCTTGTTTAGGAATAACATGTTTCTTTGTTCTTGTTGGAGGTTGGATAGTGTTAACTGTTGCTGGGTTTGAAATTTAACTAGAAAAAAATTGTTGCTTTGATGACTCTCCTGTCTGGACCATGAATCTCACAGACTGAGTTTCATCTTTTGCAGTTTGTAGTCGTATGTCAAAGTACAAGTTCTTGGAGCTTTTAGTTTGCTGGATTTCTTGAACTTCTTGAATGTATCTGCTGCAAAGACACACAAATTCAACACAAGCTTGGTGGCCGAACAAAGAAATTGAATAGTTGAAAATCCGTTGTATTTGTGCTATGATTTTTTGATAATTAGGAAAAGATAATGACACGCGGAGAAGTGTTAAATTGCGAGATCGAAACAAACAAAGAAACAAATTTGAGATGTGAGCGGGAGCTGCTTTGAAAAAATGAACGTAGCCTGAGTATCAGGCTTTCTTAAGGGCCTAGGAGCGAGAAGGTGGATGGGGGAGGGAAAAAAGAGAAAGGAAGGCCTGACACAAAAGCATTCAGCAAATCGTTTGACACGTTTAAAATCTGGATGTGGCAGTGATTGGATAACACACAATACCCTCTCACGTCACTGACCGCAAGTAAATACGAGCAAAGCGATCGGCAAGGAGAAGCCATTGAAATTTTTCATAAATGTTTTCATTTTATGTTATGTGGTACTTTTATGGACAGAGACGCAGAGAAGAATTCAAAAGGGCCCAAGAGGGCGCTCTCAAGTTCTTTCCTGGCATAAAATAAAACCCGAGCAAGAAGAATTCTGTTTTGAAAGCCTCGTAGTTAAAAGAAAAGATGTTCTTGGAGTATGGAAAAGCCTCGTATACCAGCCTCTGCCGAAACTATGTCCGAGTATCTACCTGGCAACATCAAGATAGATGAACCACAGAAAATAACTCTCCTTGGCACAATTAACCCACCTCAGGCAGGTCATGGCCATCATACATGTAGAAACCCTATTTGCCTCCCAAAGTCCATGGTTTTTGAGAGAGAAAATAACCTTCAATAATATTAGTATATCTTATATAATAATAATAATAACTAGCAATATAGTCCTCACTACATCTGCAACCGCCTTAGATATGATGTTTATTTTGCAAGGAGTCTTCTGGCATCAATACATAATCTCTTTATTTCTATGCTATAGATTGTGACATTTTAAAACTTACATTTAATGATGAAACACAATATTTTACTTGTAACAAAAAACGTTATTTTTCATTTTTATCTTGTTACTTGAATTGCACGATGTTGTTTTATTGTCATCATGCATCTTTTCTCACAACAGCCTGTTAAAAATACCTGCCAAACTTTCATGAATTGGCGGGGAGGTTTGCTCTTTGACCGAGAGATCTTAAGTGAGCTCTTGCAAAAAAGCGTCGCCTGTCCTAGGCGCTGCTTTGTCCGTGGTGTTAGAATCCAGGAGAGCAGGTGGACTGGCTTCCATATCCACTCGTTCATGGTCAGTCTTTGACAGCTTCGACAGAGGCAGTTTCACCGTCCTCCTCCAACTCTTGATCATGACCGATCAACAACAAACTGACGTTTTCGTCAAGTTTCGTCATCTGACCCACGAACGGAGCCATAGTAGCCGTAAACAGGTTTGCAAGTTCTGTGTTTCTGGAGGCAGCAGTGGACCAGAAGGTAGGCTGGAAATTGGGGTGCTGTCACTGGATGGCATGGAAAGGGGTGAGCTCACTGTGATCGATGTGCAGAAAATTGCCAGGGGTGGGGCAACAAAAGTCGAAACAAAAGAAGGAACAGAAAATAATTGCCTGCCTTGAGGTGCTGAAGATGATGGAGGTGGTTGAGTGGCTTGAAACCCAACTCCAGAAGCCAAAAAGTTCACAATGAGATCACTTCAATTCAAAGGCTGAGCGGGAATGCCCCCAAAGATTGTAGAGGTGATGTTTGTGAAATCACAACCATAGTCTCAGCTTCCTGGAGCGAAGCAGTGGCCGAAGTGCCAGAAGAGGAAGCGAAATTGCCATCAGCTGCCAGGGCCAGCTTCACAGCATTGACCACAGTGGCCAGAAAGGCCAGACCTGTTGAACCATTCAGAGCGGACGATGATGAGACTTGAGTCTGCAGGGTTGTGATTGGAATCGCAGCTGAGGGCTTGATTCCAGAGGATTGAGAAGACATCCGAAAAGAGGCCAGCAGACACGCTGTTGTTTTTTCGACGAGTGGTCATCGTGAAAAATGCAGAAAAATTGAGCAAGGCAATAGCAAGCATGCTAAAATATGACTTTACGAGTGACTGCAAGCAAGCAAACTGCATTTGTGAATCACGAGATGCCCATGCTGATCATCTGGGGCCTGTCCAAGCCAGGCAACTAAGAAAATTGCTGGTGAGCATTGTTTCTATTTTAGCTTTGCCTAAATTTCATTTAGCCACATAGAGCAGTTCTGGTTGACCTAAATGGTTCGTGAGTCATGTCTTGTTATTTGAATTTGCATGACGTGATAAAGATATTATATCTATCCTCTTAGTTTGTTTTGCTGCCACTTTGACTAATTACTATTTATGTATTTTTTTAAGTTAATGTTATTTCGAAGTGAGCCCTATCGAGGAGTTGTTTTTTTGTTAATCTTAGGGCTAGCTTCAAAAATAAAATAAGTTTAAATAAATAAAAAAAAAAAATTGAGATGAAATCATTGTGAAAGGTCTGCTAATGGTGTTTGGTTATGCTGGTTGCCAATTTTCCAGTTTCAGATAAGTGGAAGTCCACATTGTTAGGGAATAAGAGTTTCTCTGTTAATTCATCTTCCTTGTTCTTGTACTCGTACACATCCTCATTTAAAAACGTGCTAAGTACTTTAGCAAATGCTGTCACACGTCTCTGTGCGTTGTCCTTCTCTAGCAAAAATTGTGCTTTTACTTCAAGATAACAGTTTTTCAAAGGCATGGACCTGTTCCAACCATGGCACTGTAGTATTTGGGACCCTGGATTTCTTGCAATCTTTGTTGTTGTAAATTGGATATATGTTTACAAGAATGTTTAAATTATCAGGGCAACAAATAATGTTAGGCCTAGGTTATGGGGAAAATTACCTCCTGATTATACATCAGCGAAAACTTGTTGTTGTAAGTTGGATATATGTTTACAACAACGTTTAAATTATCAGGGCAACAGATAATGTTGGGCCTAGGTTATCGGGAAAATTACCTCCTGATTATACATCAGCGAAACCTTTTAATATTTTTGAAAGCAAAATTTGTAAAAATGATTTAAGCTCAATGATAGATGATGGATGCAAGGGCTGTTCTCTCTGCTCATTTAATTTTACAATTCTCCTCAGTCTTACAGTGAATATCACTCATCTTAGATTTTCGTTAGGTTATATTACATTATGCGTAGTTTTAATATTTTTACCTATATATTGTATACATAATTCCAATTATAAACTGTGTCCCTAAATTAGTATGGGGGTTTTCCCTCGCTAATTATGGCTTCGATACATTAATAAAGTTTTCTATCTATGATGTTTTGTTTCTTTTTCAAGTGACTGTTTGACAGTTTCCTGTTTGTCAACAATTTTGATGATGGTGTCCTCAGTAGTAGAAAGCTTTTTTTCATAAAAATGCTTCAGCAGACAATTGTTAAAAGTGTAAAACTGTTGATCTTCAATTTGGTCAATTTTCCCCCCCGTAGTGATTCTTTAATGTGTCCTGGAGTGTCTGCTATTCTATCATCACATACCCTTTTCTCTGTTGCCTCGTTATCTTTAATACTGGTCTCTTTTCCAAGCAATGTTAATATTTAAGAATTTTCCTGTGTTGTGCTTTTCGAGGTAGTTCAAATGTTGGTGATTAAACCAGAAGACACTGGCTGAAAGCGAGTGGCATGGAATGAGATGGTAGGTCTTTTAAGACACTGTTCTAGTTCACATAGAAGAGCTTCACTTTGCTGTGAAGATGAGGGTATGACTTTTCGTATTTATGACAAAATCTACTTTTTAGAGCAACAGCAATTTCTCGGTTAAGTCGCCAATGAATGCTTTCTAGACAGTACACACTGGTTGGTTCTGTGATGGCTTAACATGGGAGATATCCTGCTCTTGTGCTTTGGTAACTGTTTACTGTGGTGGCAAGGTGTTTTGCAAAATACTGCTTGAGCTTGCCGTTGGTGACAGTGTAGAATGTTTTCTCTTCAATCTGCTGGATGTGGCTATCCCAGGCTGATAAATTGATATTTCCAGTAGGGTCGGTTATTTTAGCCTCTCTCACCATTTTAGTTAAATGTTCTGTTTTTACTGGTTCTCCAAGCCATTTAATTCAAACGGAGGCAGTGAATTGTACAGAGTTGGGGTGCTTAAGGATAGTATCTACAGATGTTGGCGTCATTAGTGCCAGTGGTTTGACCGGAAACTAAATAGAATGTCGAGGTGTATCTTGAATAGCTGTACCCTTGTTTAGGAATAACATGTTTCTTTGTTCTTGTTGGAGGTTGGATAGTGTTAACTGTTGCTGGGTTTGAAATTTAACTAGAAAAAAATTGTTGCTTTGATGACTCTCCTGTCTGGACCATGAATCTCACAGACTGAGTTTCATCTTTTGCAGTTTGTAGTCGTATGTCAAAGTACAAGTTCTTGGAGCTTTTAGTTTGCTGGATTTCTTGAACTTCTTGAATGTATCTGCTGCAGTCTGTTGAAAAACAATTGTGAAAATACAATACAATACAATTCAGCACCATTATTTAATGTGCAATATTTTATAGCTTGCAGTAGTTTTATTACATTATTACAGTGCAAATTATTGACCATGGTACATTTAACTTAAATATTTATCTCTAATATTTATGTTCCCTGGCAGGGATGGGGAATGTCACCCTTGTTGTTTAGATTGGTTATATCTGTCTTAAACTATTGTTTTATGGTTGAAACTGTCTAGTAGAGATGGGCATTAGCAATCAAAGACATTGACAGAAAAAATAATTAGAAGTATTAATACTTTATGTAATGGAGAAAAACTTACTTGTTGTTGAGCTTGACAGAGGTGTTGCTTTTGTGGTCTCGGGGATCCCATACTTGGCCCGCTTTGTGGGTCTTGGGCTGGTAGAATTATCCATCTGTTAAACGAGAGTTGAATGATGTGTGAGTGACCTTAATGACACTGATAAAACATTTTAACACAAAACTGTATTCATAATGATGATTAAAATTTGTATAATGCCTATCCAATCCAGCTCTAGGCGCTTTACATAAGCGTGTGTAAAGCTATAAAGTTAATATTAACATTCCAAACAATTAAACAGATAATCAAATAGTTGACGAAATAAAATTGAGGTAAATTATCACATGAACGGATGTTGTCAGGTAGACTGTTGCGTAGGCCAGGAGCAGCGACAGCAAAAGCTCTAGACCCATAGGACTTCATATTAAAAATAACAGCCAGATCTTGAATGTAGATAGGTGCTTGTTGGTGTAGAGCAGCAGGATTTTGAATTTAATATGCTCATTTACAGGAATCCAGTGTCGGTTGGACAGAACTGGAGCAATGTGGTCATATTTCCGGGAGCATGTAATCAGGTGGGCGGCAACATTCTGTACTGATTGAAGCTTTTTCAAAACATACTTCGGCACATTATACAAAAGAGAATTGCAGTAGTCAAGCTTGGAGGCTACAAAAGCATGGACGAGAATCTCGGTAAACTTTGAAGATAGGAATTTTTTTATGCGGGAAATGTTACACAGATTGTAGAAGGCTGATTTACAGACAGCATTGACATGAGGGAGCATAGACATAGTGCTGTCAAAATGGCACGAATGTTTCTGGTAGAGTCGGGTGGATGAATGGACTGCCTGTCCCTTGCAGTTTCACCGGATTGATTGTTTTTGTGCAAGTGTTCCGGTCTTTCAATTGTTGAGGCAAAGTGTCCTTACATTGTACGAAATGAGAATATTTATGTCATGGACACATTTGACTGAGTTGACTTCCTTGATGATTTCCATGGAAAACCCGGTTGAAACGCTCCCACAAATATTTTACCCAAATGCAAGCAGAAATATGGGTTTGTGGTGTCTGTCATGGGTTTTTCATTGTTTGGACACAAGGAGGCCCCCAGCCCCTTTCTATGAGCGAGTTGAACCTGACATGGAATTTTGTCTTAATTTTGTGAACAGTGTTACATTGTTTTACAAGTCATTTGTATTGCCATGCCTGTTAGGGTACCGGGACATTTTTGATTGCCTAAAGTGCAACAAAGCGATTTTTGAGGAAGACGAAATAAGCGAGTCTGCAAAGGGAAAAGTATTTGCTGCCATGTGCTGATCTCACTATGAGTACTGCAGATGCACTGGATTCTTGGGTTTACCAGAGCTGCGTGGTAGATGCAGCAAATGCAATTGACAGTCATGGTGATGATGACCTTGAAGCCTTCAGGAATCAGAAGCAACGGTTACATCCGTTGATGTGAATCATGTATGCCCTGTTTGTTCAATGACGAGCATCCCTGTTGATGGAGAACATGTATGTTCAGTTTGTAAAAAGGCGGTCCATGCATGGTGTAGTAACCATGAAAAAATGACAAGCTCTGCAGATCTCATTTGCAATTTATGTATTTCAGATTAATACAAACAAGGACATTGAACTTAAAAGATCAATCACAAGAGAATTAAATGTTAACCATATGGTGAGATAACTGACAGATTAAGTTGCAGTTATACACCAGTAATAGAATTAATATAATGTAACGTACAAGAAACGTTAACAGAACAAATTTCCAGTGTAAATATACTGTAGTGGTGAAAATGATGGATGTCACCTTGTTAGGCCAAAGAACACTTCAGAGGTCAGAGAAAGATATAATAGGTTAGGTTCTTAAATTTATGGCCACTGAATCTTTTGTTGGCTAATGTCCTTTTATGTGCCTATTGCTATGAACAATATTATTAACGTTCCCACCAGCACCTTTAATTTCAGGCGATGTAAATACAACTTGGTGTTAATTATATCTCATTATTATACAATCATTTGCAAACATAGTCAACATTCTGTCTAAATATTATTCCTGTCTTACCCTTGAGGAGTGATGGTTTTGATCTTTGGTACAGGATGAAGGGTATTGTTGTGCTGAAGCCAATGGGTTCAAATTTGTTTTCGACCTTTGTTGTATGTCATCTGGGCTAAGAAACGCATAGAAAAACCCTAATAAAAACCTATCCAGTCTCTAAACTGTGTTTTGCACTTGCGATGGCATATTTGTCAACAAAGTATTAAATACAGAGTGGTGGAAGAAAATTACACATAGCACAGCAAACACGAACAATATTATCAGCTAGGGGAAGCAGGGAAACAGGAGTTCATTTTTAAGAAGAAAACCTTTTAGTCGTCCAATGGTTTGCTTCACAGAGATCCTGACATTTGCTATGTTTGATGTTTCTCTGACGTCATGTGGTAACAGTTGCATAGCTGATGCACAACTTGGTGGGATGCGTAATGTTGCCACGTGCATCATCAAGTTTTCTCTTATCTTAACCCCCTGTCTGCCATGACTTCATCATTTGGTTCAATCACATTTTCAAATCCGCTGTTTCTCACTATGAAAATATCAGATGCTCTTCCTCCATAACATGATGAGGCATAGGAAATAGCTCCATCTGGAGTGTTGCAACAAGGACTTTGAATGCAGTGTAGTGATGTTTATATTCACTCCACAGAGTGGCGCCAAATCCAGTCCACTTGGAGTTTCTGTGAAACATTCAATTAAAACTCCTGCTCGAGCCTAACCTGTTTTTCAGGCCCAGGTCTTCCTTTGGCAAATCCAGTTGCCAACTCGAAGGAGAGGAAGATTGAGGTGCTTCTTTCATTGTCTGCTTTCCACCCCTCCAATATTGCATAGACCGTGCCTTTTCACGTAGATAATCGAATGAAAACTGGGATGTTTCAGGTGAGGGCAAACCTGTGTACACCCTAACTTCCAGTTCTCTTGTTAGCTGTTTCAACTGCGTAGGAACTGAAACGGAGTAGTCTGTGTCGGTTTCCATTTCTTCATCAGTTCCCTCACTGTCTTCATTACACTCTTCAAATTTGGCAAAAAGCATCTTGAAAAACCAGCTTCCTGACACTTCATTCTTGGCTTTCCTTTCCTAGGCGACTTTTTTTGGAGGTAATCGGAGACAGTCATAAGAATCGACGGATAATCCGTTTTAAGGTTTTCAGAAGTTCTTCTTTCCATAGGTAAATGATTTGAAGAGACGAAAGTACCACTATCGCCAGGGGAAGGATTGAATACATCGCCTCGTGTCTTCGCTTCTTGCTTTTGCCATATTTTGACGAGTTTTGGATCAACAGGCCACTTGCGAAACATTAAATTGTTCTCATCGGATCCAACATAAGCGAGATCAGGATATCTTTTGTCATTATCGCGAAATCCCACCGCACAATGAGCGTGTTTTGGCATAAAAACAAATTATTCAGCCTTGTCGCCATTTGCAATTTATGTTTTGCACCCCCGGCAAAATGGCGGCGTTAACCTTGAAAGGGTCTATTGTTAGCGTTACATGTATTTTGAGTTGACATAAGAAAATAAGTCAACATAGTCGGAATATGCTTTTTCTGCCTCATCCCTCTGAAACTTCCTGTTGTTTTTGGAGTCATATTTCATGTGAGAACTGATCCTTGGCAAGTGACTGCGCAGGAAGATATCCTTAGAGTGCTATTTGCGATAGATCACACAAATGGGGATCAGACTTTTACTACTCCGTGGCATTTAATTATTAGCTTTTAGTAGTTTTACAAAATTCCTTGATTTGCCTCACAGCTTCCAAAGCAAATATTCGGTTTTACCGAGACGCTCGATTAAAATGCAGTATTTGGTAGCTTTAAAACGGTCAAATAATTTTGAGAGCTTAGACATAAATTAACAGGAATTAAGATGCATTGACCTTCAAATCAATTGAATTTTTTTCTTATTGAATTATTATTATTATTTAATAATTAACAACACTGTTATAAATGCATAATATATAGATTTAGCTAGGGCTAAAAGCGAAGCTCCCATTAATAAATTTATTATTTAAATTGTACTCGCTATCTGTCTTGTCATTGGCAAAAAGCGTACATATGATGGAGATTCTATTCTCACGGGAAAAACTACTCTAAAATACGTGTAAGCAAAAATGCCGTGACATAGACCTAACATGAGAGTTGCTCGCTCCGGCTTATGGGCTACTGCCAAAAGCTATACTAAAAAGTTCTTTACAATTTAAGAAATTGGCTATTGGCTTGTTTGAGCAAGTGACCACTTGGGACTTGGTTGTTTCGATGAGCGTTCTTGATGTGGTAGGTAAGACGACTTCCTCTCCCAGTTCTGAAGGGGCATTTTGGGCATGCCAGAGGTTTGGAATGCCCGAGCATGTGGTTATACAGGTTGTTCCATTGGTGAAAAAAAGAACCGCAGCCTTTCTCCTGACAGACCCAGGACCGTTCACTGGGTCGCTCGCCATAACTCTGCCATCCGGGGTGCTTCGCACTTTGCTGGTGTGAGGACATAGCAGTGCCCGGCAACGTTTCAAATTGGCAGTTGCCGTACGGGCATCTGACTGACTCTTGGATTGGTAGAGCATAGTTAACTGGGGAGAATCTCCTCAGGCTGAGGTTGTCGACTTGTAGGGCAGGTTTCCTTCTTTCGAGATACTCGAGTATATACAAGGGCTCTTTAATCTCCTGCCAAAAAAGCATATAAGCATAAAGTATCGATTTGCAAGTAGAGATTCACTATTATGTCTGTAATGATAATCCTCTATAACCCTCATTACTTTGTTATGGTATGGAACAGTTTATTTAATCGCTTGAAGAACATTAAATCATATTGTCTTACATTAAAAGAAAACGGAATGTTTCCTTTCAACACAAGTATATGGACTCTACATATTGAAACATAAAGTGTAATACTCGGGCTGCTGAACAATATATAAATTCTACGAGACTCCCGTTAGTGTTGTCACAGAGTTGAAAATACAATCGCAACTTATTGGCATATGGAAGATTGTTTGATTGGATGTGTCATGCATTCATTGATGGCTATAGTATAATAAGTTAATGTCAAACTGCCGTACAGGATGAAAGCTTAAGCCAATTATTGGGAGGACCGTCAAACTAAAACCGTCAGTACTGCATGGGGATGTATAGAAAGTGCGTGCAATTAATTTACTTCTTTGTCTGGATGTGGCGCTGGGCTCTTTGCCCATTGTCTGTCGTGAGCAGCTTTGTTTCTTTCAGTGGCGAACTGCGCGACTGCTTGGTTCGTCACGGTGGCCACTCGCCTTGTAAGGGATGCTTTGCTCATACCTAATTAACAAGTTTTACTCTATGTAAATGATTTATCAACACTACAGTCACATTTTGGCATTCATTCTGCATTTGCCTGGCAATTTATTTGTACGTAATTTAAATCAGCCTCTTACCCAGTACCTCTTCTTGTTTCTTCGCATACATTTCACTCAGTGCTATAAAGTGCAAGAGGAATAAAGACGTTCTGAGTTTAACTTCAGTGGGGAAAGGCGGCGGGATTGAAGGAAGTTTTGGGTAGGGATGTATCGCTAGCACCTTAGAACCCTCAGCTGAAGTGAAGTTTACAACCCTATACTAGTAGTCTAAAGTCTTCAAACCCCTCTCTCCTATAGTAGTTCCCTTCCCAAAGATACTGAGGTCATTAGCACTCCGGGGATGGTACTACCCTATACAAGTGTTGGGGGTCGTTGTCGTACCCTTAGGGGTTTTTATTTGTGGAGTGGTACCGCTAAGGATGATAAAACCGTAAATGAGTGCCACCAAGAGTACCCTTCAAGGACCCTAGTTAAGGTGTTCGCCCAGGATGTATGACAATACCTTCGGAAAGTCCTTGAGAGGAAAGAGTTTGACAGTTGTCTTTGTTACTATTAAAATTTGTAGTGTCAGTTATATCTTTTGCTATTGTTGATTTGATACCTCTTTGAGGTGGAAATGAATCTGGGAGACGCCCATAACACAAGATTCTGGTACGTTTTCTTGGTTTTCTCGAAAGTATTCGATGATCATCCCCATCACTTTTATACGGGAGTCGCCCGGGATCAGCACAGTCCAGCCAAAACGGGAACCA